ATATAATAGAGGAACTGGTCTCAGTTTGCACAGGCCATCAGGTTCACAAGACAGGAATCAAATATCAACAATGGCTGATTATCACACTCAGGAATTGAAAATAATTAGAAAAAGTGGCAGAGATGCTGTGGCAACCATTGGCTGGTCCCCTTTGCTCTCCAGCACCCATTCCCCCTTTGGTTTAGTAACAGCACCCTAACTTTCCTCCCTATATCGTGTGATAACGGAAGCACTGTCTCCAGGATACCCTCCCTGAGAAACAGGCATACGACCTGAGCCAGCCAATCAGACTCCTTCCCTGCAAGGATGCACTAGGTGGACAGCATGGTGGGAGCACCTCTCATCCAGGCAGGGGTGATCTGTGGGAGTGCAGTCAGTCCTGATGCTTAAGAGACCCCAGGACTGCCATCGCTTCTGTCCTGGGCTTGATTCTGCAGGCTGACAGAGAACCTGACTGATGCAGATTCAGGGGAGGTGGTTTGTTTTGCTCTCAGTTCCTTTCATGAAATGGCTATTATCTCTGCTAGCTACTATAGCAGAAATCTGGAAAACATGATTTTTCTTGATTTATGAAATTACTGATGTTTCTTCAGGAATTTCTGCCTGCTTCTCATAAACAGGCAGAAACTTAGAAATGTTACATTTCTTAAAGAGAGTCATGGTAATTCTTATCTGAAAAAGATGATAGTGGTTTGAATTTAATGTAATGTACTCTATCTCCTGCCTTAGTGCCCTCACATCGTCATGCTGCCCTCCCTCTTAACATTTCTGAAAATTGAAAGACACGAGGGAAGAAAAAGTGTTTTCCACATCCCCACATTTTTGCCTTAAAGTGGAATTTGTAGAAGAAAATGTGCAAATATACAAGTTTTAAGTACTCTCCATAGCTCTTGGGTTTCTATTATTAGGTTTTGTTTGTTTGTTTTGAGACTGAGCCCCGTTCTGTTGCTGCCCAGGTTGGAGTGCAATGGCGCAATCTGCTCACAGCAAACTCCACCTCCCGGGTTCGAGCAATTCACCTGCCTCAGCCTCCTGAGTAGCTGAGATTACAGGCGCCCACCACCACACCCTGCTAATTATTGTATTTTTAGTAGAGACGAGGTTTTGCCACGTTGGCCAGGCTGGTCTCGAACTCCTGACCTCAAGTGATCCACCCGCCTCGGCCTCCGAAAGTGCTGGGATTACAGGTGTGTGCCACTGCGCCTGACCTATTATTAGTTTTAAAAACATACATTCCTTTATTTTTAATTTTGTATTGTTTAAATACAACAATACATGTTCACTGAAACAATGCAAGAGTGTAAAAAGTCCAAGGTGAAAGACCCCTGTCACCACCACTCCTATTTCCAAGGATAACCATATTGACAGTTTGTGGTTTAAACATATCTTTAAATAAAAAACTTATATGAGATTATGCCGTCTCATATTTTCAAGTTAACATTGATCAACCTGGTCTTTTCTCTCAACTATGGTGGTCATCCTTCCTCATACATACAGACTGACCAAACTCATTCATTTTAAGGCTGCAGATACTTCATTGCATGGGGATGTATCATCCTGTATTAATCTGTCACCCAATTAATCTGCCCAATTGATGCGCATTTTGGTGGCTTCCAGTTCTTTGCAGTTACAAACAGTGCTACCGTGAATATTCTTATACCAATATCTTCAGGCCGATGTGCAACTATTTCTTAACTTGGATTCCTAGAAGTGCATTTGCTGGATCAAGTACATACACATTTTGAAATTTTGGTCAAAACTGTGAAATTGCCCCCCAAGAAGAATGTACCGATTCACTCCCCCACCTGCCTTTTTTTTTTTTTTTTTTCACTGTATTATGGCAGGGAGTGGTATATCCCTTTTGTTTTGGTTTGCATTTCCTGGATCATTCGTTAGTGAGACAGAGCAGAAGTGGATTATATATAAGTTTACACACAAAATTACATGGAGATACAAAAAGAAGAAAAATACAGCATTCCTCTTCAAAGCGAACTGATAACTTAGTTAGAGGGAAATGTTTCATGATGACCACAAATGGAATTTTTTTTTTTTTTTTTTTTTTTTGAGACAGAGTCTCGCTCTGTCACCAGGCTGGAGTGTAGCAGCGCGAACTCGGCTCACTGCAACCTCCGCCTCCCGGGTTCAAGCGATTCTCCTGCCTCAGCCTCCCGAGTAGCTGGGATTACAGGCACACGCCACCATGCCCAGCTAATTTTTGTATTTTTAGTAGAACGGGGTTTCACCATGTTGGCCAGGCTGGTCTCGATCTCTTGACCTCATGATCCATCCGCCTCGGCCTCCCAAAGTGCTGGGATTACAGGCGTGAGCCATCATGCCCGGCCACAGATTGAAATTCTTATGTTTAATGCCATGATATCTAACACTGCGTTCAATCAAAATGTCTAGCATGCGGCCTGAGACCTTTGCGCAGAAGGTGCCTAGGGTCATGGTTTGGGAAGATTAATCTGCCATCAGTGGAGGGGTGGATAAAAACTAATGTTTATTAGGATCAAGATGAGCAGTCTCTGTGCCAGAAACTTTATTCATTTAATTCCCACAGCCATGTGAGGCAGGTGAAATCATCCCCATTTTATGGATGAGGAAATTGAAGTTTAGTTGGTTCAATAACATGCCAAAGGTCACTCAGCTGACCAACAGTGGAGCTCAGATGCGGAAGACTGAACACTCAGAGCCTGGGCTTTTAACCAAACACCGCATGACTTCGCTACAGAAGAAAGTTAGAAAGAGTTTTCAAAAATAAAATGTGGAGCCAGGTGCCACCTTGGATATAAGGGACTGGGGGACGGAAAGAGTCAAGAACTCCCAGGCTTCCCTCTGGCTGTCAATAGCCAGTGGGTCCTGGCAGTGGGAGCTGGGCCATCAGAGGTGGCGCCCGAAGTGGGGCAGGCACAAAATGGGTTTTGGGGCCAGCGTTTGCCCGGGTAATGGTCAAAGCCACAGAAAAAAGGTGTTTTGACGGAGTGGTGGCTGAATGTGGGGAGAGATGAGCAGGGGACCAAGCCTGGAGCTTGGGCAGCCCACGATTGGACACTGAGAGAAGAAAAGGAGCCAGCGGAGGAGACACTGAGGCTAGGAATGGGAAGGGCACTGTGGAAATCTGGGCTCCACCTGGCGCTCCGGGGAGCGGGTAGGGGGGCGCATCAAGGAGCTCAAGCTGCCTCACCAGCAAATGCCTCTGTTTTTGACCAGGGGCAGTGAAATAAAGGGACCCAGTTAAGTAACTGGTTTCTGGTTCCTGCCAACCCAGGAAGCCGGCACCGGCCCTGCCTTACATCCCATGTGCCACTCTCAGCCTTCGAAGCAAAACCAGCTGAGGCCAGCACCTGCCAGGTCTGAATGCGCAGCTCCAAGTTCTGGGGGGTGGGGGTGGGGTGAGCCAAGGAGGTCTGGCTTCTCTAGGGCAAGGGTAGGGAGGACAGCAGGGAGGCTCACCCTGAGCCCGCAGGCAGCCCTTCCTCCTCCTCCCCTTCAGCAAAGAAAGGCAGAGAAAAACGTGTTTTTATAAATAGCTCCAGCCCCAGCTGATTTGTAAATTCCGTGGGTTTTTTTGTGTCAATGACATCACCTTCCTCCCCATGGCAACCCCCGACGATATCAAAATTGCCAAGCAACGTTGGAGCAGCTCGGCGCCCCAAACGAGCAGGTCGCTGCCTGAGGATTTAATGGAGAAATCCCAAAGTGAGCCGGGGCGCACGGTGGAGGAGGGGCGCGCCGCAGCCGGGGCCGCCGGGCCCTGATGGGCGGGAGCGGGGTGGAGCGGCCTCGCCTGACAGGCAGCCCTGGGCGCTGGGCTCCGCGGCCACACTCTGGAGACAGCCACTGTCCAGGCAGGTGGGGGAGGGCGCTGCTCCCGTCCTGATGTACCAGGAGCCGCCAGCAGCCATCCAGGTGACTAAGCCGGCCCACTAGCACTGAGTCACCGCCCGCCTGGAGCTGTTCTTGCTTCTCCTTTGCATCTGATTATTTTGGGAGCTGGAAACTTGGAGCTGCACCTGAGTCCCGCCCCTTCTAGCTCTCCCCTCCCTACCCTGGGCTCCAGGAAGATGGGACTTGCTGTGAGTCTGCTGCCACCCGCTAAAGATATGGAAGACGCTGTGGGGGCCAGAGGTGCCCGGGGGGCCGTGGCAGCAGGCAGAGTGCAATAGCAGATATGGTGGTCAGGCTGCCTGTGTGTGTCCTCTGGAGGTGTAAGGACAGAAGGGCAGTCTTGTCCGAGCTGACTGGAGTCCTCCCGGGCTGGCTCTGAACTCATCTCCCACGGGGATGTTTCTGTAAAGGAGTGGCTTCTGGGGTCGGAGTGGCATTTGGAGAGCGAGGCTGGATTGGCTTAGGCTGGCCTGGGCAGGTAGGTGGCTCTATGCTGGGCGTGGACCCACGTGTGTGTGAGTGCGAGAGTGTGTAAGCCAGTGTGTGTGCTGGGGACAGCAGCTGGGTCCAGCAGAGCTGGCCGGGGGCCTGACAGCAGTTTATCCTAACTGATGCTGGGTGGGCGTAGGCCCTGAGATGGGCATCAGGGAGAGGGGACGCCAGACACACGGCCTAAGCAGGGTGACGAGCAGCTGCCAGCCCCGGCAGGCCCAGGCCCTGTCTGGGTGCACAGGACCGAGACACAGCAACATGCCCAGGTAGGAAGCCTTCCGGAGGGGCTGGCCAGGGTGAGAGCCCATCACTAGGGGGTTGGGCTGCCCCTTCATTCTGGCAGGTCTGGGTACCAAGGAAACAGCTTCCTACCAAGAACCTTGTCACTCTCTCAGGCAGGGCCAGTCAGCACCCATGTGCGTCTCTGCTGAGCTCACAGGGACACCATTCAGTGAGAAGGGTGCTGGCCAGGGCACGGCTTCCCCACGATCAGGACCCAGCGGGTGCCACCCTCAAGCCCCTGGTCCCCACAGGGCATGCCCCAGTGTGTGTCAGGAGGGGGGAGGTCTCACCTCCCCCACACAGCTGGCAGCTTTGCAGGCACCAGTGAGTAAGCTGCCAGAGGGAGGGAAGCTCTGTGCCCACAGAGGCAGGACAACACCAACCAGGAGCCTTCAGGAGAAGAGGCTGGGTGAAAAAAGCACTGAGGTTTTCTTTTCCTTTTTTTTTTTTCTATTTTGCCTGAAGGGAGTGCCGCTTCCTGGGCTAGAAACAAGCACCAGCCTGCAGTGGAGAACGCGGGGCCCCACTGCCCAGAAGGAGCGGCCACGGTAAGGTTCCCCCTGCCGCTGCATGCTCCGGATTCCTGGGCTAGGGACGGGGATGCTAAGGTGTCCAGGCTGCCTCCCACCTGGGACAGGGAGGCTAACTCCACAGCTGTGGCTTCCTGGGTCAAGGAGCTCCACTCCCAACCCGACCTGCCGCCCTCTTTCCAGATTGACTGTGAAACAGTCCAATCCCAGCTAGACGCTGGCTGCCTAGCTAGAGGGAGAGGTGCTTGTTTCTGCTGTTCCTGCATGTACTTCCTGCCCCTTCTGGGCCAACCCAGTGTCACCAGGACGCCCCTATACCAGGCCCCTCTCACTTTACCGCCTCTGGGACATTTCCCTTGTGTATTCATTCCACAAATATTTAGGGAGCACTGCTGGGTTCCAGGCTCCAAGTCACACCCTTTTGCTGGGTTTCACCTGGCACAGATTCTGACTCTGAAACTCAGTGTCAGGGCAGGTTCGGGGAGCTGCCTGGCCGAGCACGGTCACTCCTCACAGGCCTTGGGCTCCCCACCCCTGCTGCAGGGTGGATGACCTGGTCAGTTTCGGGGACATCAGGCCCAGTGAGCTCGGGTTTATAAAGCACTGGGCCCCACCAGGAAGCAAGGCTAATGTCCTGCGGTCTCCAGTTGTCCTTTGCCTGGCATCATACACCAAGAGGTCTGCGCGGTTCTGCTTGCGGTCTTCCTGAGGCTGGTTCTGGTGGGAACTGGGCTGCAGGAGGAGAGGATGAGCTTAGGAGCCGTGTGGCCCCCAGCCCTGGTGGGCCTGGGACTCAGCCCCACGGGAGCTCATCGAGCTGGGGTTGAGGCCTTTGGGGCAAGCAAGGAGTCTCCTCTGCAGGCAGACTTCCCTGGCGGTTGTCCTGGCCAGGCTTGGAGGTGGTACCTGGGAGCCCTAGTGAGCAGAGCGCCTGGTCAGGGAAGGGTCAGCGCCAGAGGCAAGGCCTTCTGGGAGCAGTTGATTTGGATGGAAGCTCTGTGCACCTGAGATGGGGAGTGTGGGGGCTGCACGGCCTGTCCAGCGCCCCGAGGACAAACCGAAGCCCTCCCAGACTTGCCAGACACAGGGAGGATGCAGTGGGTGGGGTCTCCAGCCAAGGAAAGCCCACTCTGCACAACTCCTAAGGATGACCAAAAAGTTCCCTGTCCCGGAGGAGCACATGCACTCGGAGTCGGGAGGAACCCGTAAGTGTCTCTCACGCCAGTGAATTCCCACACCTGGCTCCCGGATGAGGAGAATGACCCAGCTGTGGGGGTATCTCCTGCTGCCTCACAAAAGGTGACTCTGTGCCTAGGAGTCTTCCACGAATGCAGAGCTGAGCAGGGGCTGCTGCCCAGTTGGGGGCAGAGGGGCCGAGGCTGTTGAGCACCAGGCAGACAGCAGGCCAGCAGCGGGCAGCAGGCTGGGCCGGGGGGAGCAGAGAGTACGGGCCAGGGCAGGCTGGGCAGGAGAGGAAAAGGCGCCTGGGGTCCTGAGGGCTCAGGGCGGACTCCAGACAGCTGGCCTTGTTATGCCAGCCCACTTCTGTGGGAGAGGCCCCCTGCATAGGGGACTGGGCAGGGAAGAGGCTGAGACACTGAAAGACTGAATTCCTCACCCAAATGGCCCAGAGATGCCCACTGCACAGTGTCCTGGGTGCGGAAGGCAGGAAGGACTCATGGGAGGCCGTCCTGTGGACTGAAGCAGAAGGTCCTTCCCATAAGATGCCCTCGTCGCCCTGAGCAGGAAGGCCCGGGCTGCGGAAGCAGTGCCTGAGACCTGAGCAGCAGGAAGGATGCCAGTAAAGCTCATCAGGAGGCATCTGGCTGCCTGCACCTAGCGGGCCTCAAGGAGAGAGCTTGGTGGACTAGCCAGCAGGTTGGGGTGGAGCAGCAAATGGAAGCTTCTGAGGGCAGAATGAGTTCCCAACTTGCTGAAGCCAAGGCTGGCCCTCCTGCCCAGGGCGAGCGGTCTGCCTGGGCCTGGGAAGCTGCCCCCTTCTGAGAGCTCAGCCCTAGGGCCCAGGACGGGCTAAGGCGAGAAGAGTGAGGTGTGAGATAAAGGGGACCGTGTCTTTTCCTGGCAGGGTGTGGGGTCCAGGCCACACCTTGTTCTGACGCACAGGCTGCCAAGCAGATGACAGCCATGGCCTGCCTACTAGGTGCAAGCACTGGTGGCAGGAAGAGGGGGTGGACCAGGCAGGACAGAGCTCTTGCCCTGGGGATGCTTATAGCCCTGGAGCAGAGCAGTGGAGAGGAAAGCTGAGCTGAGCGTGGGGCCAACTGCACCAGAAACAAGCGGAGCCACAAAACCACGATCAGCCCCCGGGTGGCTTCGTCCTTTTGCCCACTCTGTGTCCCAGACTCATCGCTGAACTTGGCAGCCATGACCCATCCAGCCCAGATAATTTATACATTTACACCAACACTGGGCGATGGTTCTTAACATAGAACTTTATAAAGATGGACAAAACAGATAACTTGAGAATGACAAACAAAGGAAGAAGCAGCTTCTATCTGCAGTTGCAGGAGGAGGTGAAGGCTGGGGGAGACAGACCAGGGCGGGAAGAGGCAGGACGGTGGTTGGTTAACATGAAGTCAGCAGCATGAGCCTCAGGCCCGGTGCTGCCTCTTCCTGGTGACTCGGGCAAGTTATTTCATGTCTCTGGGTCTCAATTTCCTCTCCTGTTCAACAGAGATAATTATAGTACCTATGAGTTAGGGTTGTTGAGAGGATTAAATAAGATAGTAAGTGAATGCTCTGAACGGCATGACTGGCACGTACGTACATGTTCAGCAAGAGATAACTATTATCACTGTGATGATAACTGGTGTCAGAGGAACAAAGTGCCAGGAGAGACCATACCTTGTTCAGGGGAATCAGGAAAGGCTTCACGGAGGAGGTAACTTTGAAAGAACTCTCCTCTGAGGAGAAACAAAAGCTCTCAGAATGCCCAGGAAAGCTGGGAAGAAACAATCATGCCAGGTCTATTTTTTCCCAAAATAGCACATTGTTTGTCCACTGAGACTTCCTAAGGAATAACTTGAGACTCCTCCTTCTGGGGTCTAGACTGGGAGATCTTGAGGACTTGAAGTGGGCTGCCCCTGGTGAAGGGATCCAGAGCCCAGCTGTGGCCCTGGCCCTACGCCTTTTGGGGCCTGGAAGCTTTTTTCACATGCTGGCCCTAACTCCATGAGGAACCGCGTTCTGCTGCATCCCATCTAAAGCCTACACTTGGCGATGCGGCAGGCAGAGGGGCCAGACCGGGCCACGGCAGGCTCCGGACCACCCTGGCAAGTGGTTTAGAAATGCCTAGTAATCGTGGGCCAGGCGCTGTGGTTCACGCCTGTAATCCCAGCACTTTGGGAGGCTGAGGTGGGCAGATCACGAGGTCAAGAGATCAAGACCATCCTGGCCAACATGGTGAAACCCCATCTCTACCAAAAAATACAAAAAATTAGCTGGGTGTGGTGGTGCATGCCTGTAGTCCCAGCTACCCAGGAGGCTGAGGCAGGGGAATCGCTTGAACCCAGGAGGCGGAGCTTGCAGTGAGCTGAGATCGCGCCACTGTACTCCAGCCTGGCCACAGAGCGAGACTCTGTCTCAAAAAAAAGAAATGCCGGGGCCGGGCGCGGTGGCTCAAGCCTGTAATCCCAGCACTTTGGGAGGCCGAGATGAGCGGATCACGAGGTCAGGAGATCGAGACCATCCTGGCTGACACGGTGAAACCCCGTCTCTACTAAGAAATACAAAAAACTAGCCGGGCGAGGTGGCGGGCGCCTGTAGTCCCAGCTACTCGGGAGGCTGAGGCAGGAGAATGGCGTGAACCCGGGAG